TTCTAAATGCTTTTTAAAAAGTCGGGGAGTAGCTAATGGTCGGGACATCTTCTTCCTACATTCCATTTAATGGTAACCACTTATTCTGGATTCTGAATAATTGAATCGAAAGGGACAGGGTCAGTCGGACAGGAAAAATAATAATCCGAGTATTTGCAATCAATACTCTCCCCTGCTGAAAGGTATCATGGCTAAAAAAAATAACCGCTAAAACTTTGTTGGGTGGTGGGTGGATGGACGGTTGGGTGGATTGGTAGTTCGATGGGGGAGGTCCTGGGATAGCCCATAGGCCGGGATGGTCTGGTTGCCTTGGCGATGCAAGGACAATGCGGCGTCTGTCTGTGGCAGACACCCCCTCTACCAACCCCACCACCCCCGCACAACCTTACGCGCTTTGCACGCTTCATAAGCGCAACGAATGAATTTTAATTTGATTAAAGTGAAAAATTGAAAAATGCTCCTTGGCAAAGCTTTCATTTCGCCTTTCATTTCTTTTTTTTTTTTTTTGTTATTTTCGGGACTCTATTAAACGTGCTCGTTGAATGGCAGGGGTACGAACCCAAATTCGCCACCCTGTGCAAAGATATACGGGGATTAGTTGGCCAATCAGTGGAGGCAGGCAACTGGGATTTTGTGGCCTGCTGCACAACCTCATCATACAGCGTACAGCGTACAGCATACAGCTCTGTCGTTGTTGCCATGGCTAGAAATTCCAAATTCCAAATGCCAAATGCCGATTGACGACGTCGTTGCTTCGCAGTATATCTGCGTTTTACCCCGAATCTGAGGGGGGCAGACATCCGGATGGAGACTTCTTGGGAGCGGGAGCTTAGGCCGCTATAAACCTTTTTCCCTAATATTGTTATTGTTGTTGTTTGTGTTACACCAACGAGCCAACCATCGCAGCCCCCACACCACATCAGACCCTCGAAAATGCTCAAAGACTTTTTTCCTCAGAGATTCTCAGCCCGGCTAAGAAGCTTTTTTGCCCTGGTCGCCTGCTGGAATTACGCCGCTTGGGTTTCAAGTGCTGCCACTTGCTGTTGCAGCAAATACAACACAAAAGTTGACACAGCACCATCACACTCGGAGAAAAGTTTTAAACTCGAATGGATCCGATCCAAAATTGCTCGTTTTCACATGGACACCCTTGAAAGAAATATTGAAAGAAATATATGTAGCAAACAATTTAAATACTTATAACTATTTATAAATATAAAAAAAATACGAATATTATTTTATCTAGATACATAAAAAGAATATATATGTTTTTTTGTCAAACGAAACATTGTTGTCTAACATTTGGCTGGAAGGGAAAAATACAATAGAAAAAAATGTTCTACATATCGATTTAGCAATTTATAAATGTATCCCTTAACTAATTTAGATTCGAGTTTATTCAAGAAATTATCTTTCCACAAAATTACAATAAAGAGTATAAGTAGAGTATATAAAAATTACCATTAAGAAATATGCTGTATTATATAGCAATCATATCAAGCAAAAAATTTTTCGAAAGCGTATGAAATATTTTTTAAGTGGCTACACACATAGTCATTAAGCATTTCATATAAAGAGTCAAAGAAAAGTTGCCAAAAATAGGTTTTGTCAGGTTGAACAGGAACTCATCACTATTCCTATTTATGGCTTTTTATTTCTTATTGTTTGTTTTGGTTCTTTTAATGTAAGCTTCTCATCGGATATGCTCAACAATGCAGTTGTAACGTACATTAAGTAAATAAGTAAATTAAGGAACAATAAGTTTTTCTGTATATGGTTTGATTTCCAGTCGTAATGTTTCAATTTAATTTTAGTAGCTGATATTTATATATGTTTTTAAGGAGAAAAACATTTAAATGTTTAATGGCTTTTATAGAATTTGAGATAATACAAAGCTGAGTTCATAGTTTTTTCTTTAGACCGAGTTCAACACATTCTGTAGGGATAGCCACCAAAATAAAACCGAATTCCGAAAACCGAAAATCGACAATCGAAAGACGTTGCCCCAGACCCCTCGTTGGATTAAGTTCGCTCCTGGCTCAAGATGAGCCCAACTGCTGCTCCATAGTTGCAAATTGCCGGAGGCCAACGAGACGCCAGTCGAGTAAAACAGAATTTTGCACTGAACCCTAAACTTGCGGTGGAGGAGGTTGAAGTGGAAGTGGAAGTAGATGTGGATGTGGATGTATAAGCAGAAGTAGATATGGAAGTGGGGACTTGGCGGTGCCGAGTTCCACTGACGGCATTCACATGGGGCGCATTGTGAAGTGCAAAAAAGGCGTATTTTACAAGATTTTTATTACATATAAATGCGAAAAGTATTAAAAAAGTAAACTTTTTATAGACTTTTCATTTTCCCTTGGCTTTTTTTTTTCTCGGCGTGCGAGAGGTGCGGGGATGGGGATAAGTGCGGAACGAAAAAGAAGTTGTACGCTTTTTGTCTGGGCGTCATGATGCGTGTTAAGGGAATACACACACCCATGGAAAACTCCATGTGGCATAGGCCAAACACACACGCAACCATTTCACTATGGAAAAGCTTTCACTTGGCCACAAGCCGCACAAGGCTAAAATGCTCTACGTTCAGTTAGGAAGACCAGTCGAGTCTGTGTCTTGATTTTAATTTAATATTAAGTAATATAAGACCATTAAGCAATATGGGTAAACAGGAGAAAAAAACACTAAAGCCTTTGAACCAAGCTTACTATTTTTGGTCGTTTCTTAATATAAAATACAATAGATTGTAATCAGGATTTAGTGTCGAAGCCGCACCAAACTATTATATGAATTATATTATTAAAATTATACAAATTTCTGCACCAATAATAAAAGGAAAGTATAAATTTATAAGCGTTGTTTTTAAAAAAAATGTTCAACAGTTTTGAAGTAGAAGTATTAATTCATTACCAAATTAACCCCTTTAATTTGTAATTTCATATTGATACTGAGACTCAAAAAATGCGGTCTTAGACAACAGCTTTTTTAGTTTAGAATGAATACTTTTGATTCAAAAACAAAAGTATAGGCAGTATGAGTAAGAGAATTAGTTTATAACCAAACAATATAAATAAATAATTTATAATATAGGACTGTGATTATTTACCTATAGGAATATGTTCTTTTTCAAGGAGACATGGTTTTCCCCTAAGTATGTAACATTTCTTTTTGATGTTTGAAAATTCCGGGATAGATAGCTTGCATACTTTCAGGCAGATTTCTTTCCAGATATTCTAGTTCTGGATATTTGTACAAGTTTGCTATTTTTAATTCACAACATACTTCCTTAGATCCCCTGAGCACTGGCCCATTGCAGCGTCCAACTTGTATCACGACAGCCGCATTTCGACCGCAAATCTCCGCCGCTTTTCCGCCACGCCTCCGGCCCCTTTCCCGCCCCCCACTTTTGCTCTCACTTCTTTTTAGGTTTTTCGCTTTTTCCACTTGCTGTTGCCGTTCCTGTTATTGCCGGGACTTAAGGGGGAATCCGGAGTGAGATTTCGGGATGGGCATGTCGATGCGGAGTTGCTGGCGTTGTAACTGTTGTTCGAAATGTTTTCCAACGGCCGGGAGTTGTCGGGTTTCGTTACCAGCGACTTTTCATATTTTTTTCTTAACAATTCGCTTGGCATCACCCCCGTTCCGTCCCGTTCCGGCCCAACCCAACACACCACACTTTTAAATTTTATTTTATTACTATAACAAGACATAAGTAGGCATAATGGGGCCCTATAAAATATTTAAAAGGAAATTGGCATAGAAGTTTTTCAGCCGGAGGCAGATTCGGTAAGGGCATGGCTACATTTACGGCTACGTTTCCGGGTCCCAAGTACTTTTGCCCCATTCAAGCGGCCACTTCGAGGACCAGAGCACTGAATGAAGGTCTCCAGAAGCTGGCACCTCGAGGAGCTCGAGGTGCGCGTGTTGGGCGATTAACCACCGCTCCTCATTGAGCGCTCCTTAAGGTTAATGCACTCCAAACTGGGATTTTCCGGCGGGGAGCTCGGTACGCTAACTACACAGAAAGAAATACCTACAGTTTTGACAACAACATTACTCTTAATTACAAAGCTCGCACACAATTGCTCAATATTTTTAAAATGTTAAACCTAAAATATAGTTAGTTAGAGACACGACCAAAAAAGGGTTTGAACGAAGCAGATTATGTTTTGTTATCATAGAAAAAAATGGTTATAAAAGTAATGTTAATATTATGCATTATTAATTTTGTGCCGTTGAGTAAATAACATTATTTTCTGTCTGTATCCATTTGTACAGAGAATTATTCACTAAAAAAAACTTTATAAGTTATGCAAAATAAAAAGAATATGAAAACAAGACTCAGATTTTCTCATTAAATTAAAAATCTTTTTCGTAGCAGAGAATATCATTTCGTGTCTTAAAAGGGTTTAATCATAATTTTATTTCAAATACGCATGTTACAATCTCCTTATTTTTTCGTGTTCCCTTTAATGATGCAAAGTTAAGGAATTATTGTTTACGTTGATTGAAAAGTGGTTGATCTGGGGTCCTTATCTTAAAATTTGTGTCCGTGTGCCAGCGTCTTAAGTGGTTTTTGACACTCCGAACCAGTCAGCAGTTTCCGTGTTTGGCCAATTTGTACTCAACCCCAGGCCCCTCGTTTCGTCCCCACTGTCAATCATTTTCACAAACGATTTGTCAGGCAATGCCGCGATGCAAATAAGCCGCGACATCCCCAACCACCGCCCACCAAAAACCAACCCCCCACCCACCACCCACCAGCCCATATCCGCCTAAATTGGTGACTTTTTTTCGGCAGGATCATCACGATTTCTTTTACAACTTTTCATTTTTGCGCTTGAGCTGACTTAACTGCCGAAATTGGCGCCCAAAGCTAAACCGGATTAGGAGGATTCGACTTCAGGCCTCGGGAGCAGTAGCAATCGCAGCATATGTGGCGGGCAAAGCCCCAAATCCGGTGGGCGGTGGGGCAACTATTCAAATGAGAAGCTCACATCAAATGGCTTGGAAAATATGCCATCTCGCGTTGGCTTTTATTGGCACCCCGGCTTCAATCGTTTCTTCAGCACCCGCAGTCGCGAGTAGATGATGTCCCAGTCCAGATAGGCGCCGACAATGTAGCGCGGACTGGCCTCCGAATCGTCGTACCCAGTTCGTCCGTGGAGCAGCCGGATGTTGTTGAAGGTGAGGACGTCGCCGGGGCGCGTCTTGAAGGCGTGGCTGTCGGCGATCGCCAGGCGGACGAAGCGGGCGTAGGACTCGTACCACGGCAGGACCTCCTCCAGCGGCACGTTGAAGTGGCTGTCCCGCTGCGGAACGCTGTGGTTCACCCGCGTGTACCGCCCAGCGGCATCCAAGCTGTGGGTTAGCAATGAGGTGGAAAAGGTCACTTCAAACTCAGTCTTGCCAAAGCTAGGGTCATCTTAACTTTACAGTGTTAAAAAAAAAAATATTAAATTGCTGAAATATTTTTCTTAACGATTTTTATAAATTTAATTGTCATAAAACATAAAAAAAAATATATAAAGGCTATTGACCGCTGCTAAATATGACAATCAAATTTTTTCAATTAGCTAAGGCATATTATTTAATAAGGGGTAACACTTTATAGTTTTTAAATTTCCATAAAAAAGCCAGCAATCGTTACTTTATAAATGAACGTTTTTTTTTGTGTGTTTTATTTTGTTGGTATAGCAGTTAATAAATTAAAAATATTGGCAGTTCATTAAAATGTTTAAAATAATGTGGTTTAATCATTTATATGTTTTTAATTACTTTAAAATGGCCAAGCTATGCCCAAGTTGTTGAATTTTGTCTATGGTTGCTATAGATAATGACCCGGTAATATCGGGTCTTTCAGTCAGATTAAAAAATATGACCTACATTTGAAGAGCGTTGAACCTATGAATTTTAATTACAAATTATAAATTGTTATTAAAAATGTATTCAAATTACGGTTGACACGTTTATATAAATTTAATTGAATTTAATACAAAAAGTTATCAATTTTGATTTCAAACTCTAATTTGATTTTAATTAACTATAAATATTTAATGACATATATTAATATTAAAATTTTTGAATTTTAATTTAAATGGGTCCTATTTGCTTTGCATTATGTGCATCTTATTTAAGATTAAAATATAAATTTAATATTTAAGTTTAAAATTTATTTTAAAAATAATTATAATAATTTAATTTAATTTTAAAATATTTGAAATTATTCAATAAATTAAATAGTGCATTATCCATTAAGAATGAAAACCAAAGGGAAAAATATGTAAGTTGAGTATGAAATACTTGGACTAACTAAGTTATTTATCGGTGCAACATTAATGAGGGCTTTAACACCCAGAGAAAAACCACATAGTAAAATTAAACATTAAAATAATTAAATGGAACATTGTTTTTCAACAAACTAAAAACTTGATAATGTAATGGTTTATCCAATTGGAAAATTGTAGATTTAATTTTTTTTGTATTTAAAATTAAATGTTATCATACTTAAAAATAAAAATTGATTTGAACACAACACCCCTCGGGGCTTAATCAGTACCGAAAATATTGAATTCAAAGTGAACAATTAGAGCTAATTATGATTTTTCTCCAAGTTTAGGTTGAACTTTTTAGATAGATAACTTACCAGATGACCGGCGCCCGCCAGATGTTGTGGAACTCCCGGCCGTCCTCGCTGCCGATGTCGTTCCAGTCGACCACGACGCGGCAGAGTCGCTCGAAGTCCGCCGGATGGTCGCGGCGCAGGATGTCGGCGATGTGGAAGCCATCGACGAGCATGTTGCTGCCGCCGGGAGACTCGGTCTGCACCACGCAGTGCAGAATGTTGACGCTCGGCTTGTACTCGTAGTACGGCAGGTCGGTGTGCAGGGGCAGCGGCAGCGAGAGGTAGGCGAAGTTCTGGGCGCCCGGCTTGGCCTGGACCACGAACTCCTCGCCGTAGGTTGTGCGCCGGATGAAGCCCACCCGTTCCGCCAGTCGCCGCACCACGCCCTCGTCCAGAGGAGCCCCTCGCAGCAGGGCTACCCCGTAGACGGCCAGTGACTGGAGCCACTGCATCAGCACCGAGTCCTTGGACATCACCTCCTCGTAGCTGAAGTGCTGGGCCACCTGCTGGAACTCCGCACCTGCCCAGTGCCGAGTCGCTGGGCGATAGAACTCACGCAGATACTCCTCCTGTCGCCGCCCCTCGAAACTGCGATCCTTCAGCCATCCCAAGGAGAACCTACTCTCGTGGGCATCGCTCCACTTGACTGAAACTTCCTGGGCCAGCTCGTCGGTTTGCAGGCTGACCGGCCGGATCCGGGTATCGAATTTGTCCCAGTCCAACTTGCGCGACTTGGAGCTGCCATGAAAGCACTCCTCGCACAGGCAATTGTCGCGCAGCCAGACTCCCGGAAAAGTCAGCGGCTTGGACTCCTTCTCCGGCCGCACCTCGACATTCGATTCGTTCACAATCCTCGCACTGATCTGGCGGCAAAGTCGCAGTTCTCCCGTGGAACGGCCCAATAATCTCTGCACCCACATGGTGGTTTCTTCACTGTAGTAGACCAGCCCGTTCGAGCTTCAAATGCCGAATGAGTCGTCGGAGAAAGCGAATCAATGTAATCAGCAGCTGGATCGCCTATTTGGACTTTGTCTGCCAGCTCATGACAAGTGGGCATTTCGAGCGGACAGGGGCGTAGGCACTCAAGAATCATCTTTGTGCCTTTATTTTTGAACAGTTGTATATCAATAAAACCACTATCACTTTTTCTAAATTTAACTTTCGGCTAGCATTAACATTTAAGGAGGACAGTTATTATAAACGATTGAGTAAAATTCCCACAACTTATTCTGCTTAAGTTCAAGGAACTTTTCGATACTAATCAATAAGTATATATGTTAGTCTTAGCTTAAATAATGATTCTGGTATCGGCACGATTTTGTAATGTTATAAAAAATTTTTAAGTATATTTTTTCATTTTATATAAGTTAAAGTCTTGCTTTAGATCTATATGATCATATCGTAAGATATTTTAAGTTTACATTACCATTTAACAATTTACTAAACCTGATTTATATTAAAATGACTTATATTAAAATTAACAATATATAATTTGGAAAATTCGTTGAAATCATAACAACTAATTGAGTAGTCAATTGCAACTACAAGCCCCCCTGAAAATAATTCAGCATACCCCACTGGATGATGGCAAAGTGTTATCAACAAACTACTAATTCCCATGCCAGAGAACATCTGCTACAGTTTGTTTGTTAATTTTAGCTTTTGAAATGGAAGACTCCACGGGAGAAGCAGAATAAGATAAGAAGGTTTAACGGTGCCTCGGCTCACAGAAAGTGGTTTTTGTTTAGCCACAGTAAGATCAAATTATTCAGTTGTTGTTATACGTGAAATTTAATAAGTCATTATTATTTTGTCAAACGAAAAGACCTCTTGGCGAGGTACATAAGTCAAGATGCTTGCACTTTTGACCCACAAAACTTCTGATATACAATTTTGTGAAGAAAATTGATTTATGCATCATGCGCTAAATAAATACAATTTTTAAAATTTTCCAAAATTGGTATTTATTTATTTTTTAGTTAAAGTGGTACCTACCATAAAAAGTGATAAGGCGTTAGAGCGACAACAAATTTAACCGAAATTACAATCAAATTTTTAAACACAGATGTTTAAAGATTTAAGCCACGAGACTTTAAAGATATAACTCTTATCACTCTTAAATAACTGATATTTTTATAAGTTATGAACTTAAAACTTTGTATCTTTTCAACAAAGCCGTTTTTTGGAAATTTGGAAAGGGGTTACATAATTAAAATGAAAAAAATATCGACACAAAATTTCAAACAAATTTTTAAAGGCAGATTTTTAGAGATGTTAGCCCCTAGACTTTAAAGGCATAACTCTTGAAAATTGGACGTGCTTAAGAAAAGTTATGGAAATCAAAATTCAGGTTTTTTGTAACTCTTACACAAAGCCATTTTTCGGAAAATGAGAATGAGAATGTAGATTCCTAAGCCATAAGACCTTAAATATATATATATTACATGTAAATAAGCCAATTTCAGCACATGTATAAATACTAAAGCCATAAAGGCATGATTTACCAATATTGATCACTTCATTTGCACAGATTGTGCCACAATTTGTGAACATTCTGCAGCAGTCCCTTATTCAATTTACCTCGTGCTGAACCAATTCAGCTAATTTAGAGTTGTAAGTCAATCTTGGGCTCTGTTTCTGGGTACACTTGTGCTGCTGCGACAAGTATTATGTGGCTGAATTAGCATCTTGGAGCTGAATATCGAATGCCACCCAGCCACGATTTGCTTGACGTCACCGGCGCTCCTCGGCGACCGAGGGGCCAGTTTCCCCCTGCGACTGGCGAAGCGGTCGATCAATCAATCAATCAATCAATTGAATCATCTTTGTCTGCCTCGGGGCCGTTTTGGCCCAGGCCAGAGCCGCAACCTCGACCAACCAACCAACCTCAGCCCCAGCCTCAGCCTGGTCAAAAAGCCTTTAAAGGGCCTTGCCCGATTCTCGTGAAAGCAATAAAAATTGCAGCACCTTCTGCGGGCAAAGCTGACCTGTTGCACAATTGAATGGGAGCAGCGGCTGTGCGGCAGTTGCAACTCGAAAGGGCAGCAGTGGGAGGTACACTCTGAATAAATCAACAGCACTTTTGGTGCATTTCGTACGGTATGTATATGGTAATAATATTACACTTCTTATGTACTACTACGGACATGTGATGCAAAATCTTTAAAGATAATAAATTAAATAATAATAACTTATATTTATTAGTAAGTTTTTTATATTTGAATTTTAGCATTCTTTTCTTGAAATTCCAAATATTTATAGCTATAGTATACCAACAAGAAGAGTTAAGTTCAATTAAATAAAGCTTTAAAAATTGTTATGTTTTAAACGAAATCCAATTCATATCTTTGCAATGAAAATTGCACTTTGAAAGATAAATCAACATTTTTTTTGTCATATACAATTATTTCAGTAATTAGTTTACAACTTTCTCATAGGATTAAGATGGTGAACCATTTTAGTTATCCTATTTTTATTGCAAAGTGTCGGGATGTCGTAGTGTCGTAGTTTAGGGGGAACATGGGTTTTGCTCAAAATTAGTTAATAATAGTACATTTTTTCGAAATTAAAAATGAAAATGTAGGTCCTTATTAATTTTTTTAAATATTCAAAAAAATTAAAAAACAAGCTAAATGCATTTAAAAAGCAGCTTTGTCGCTAAGCACCTGTTTTAAATTCAAAGGGTTTTTTATTTTCCTTTGTTTCTTTGATTCATTTTAGGCTACATAAACATGTATTGGTTTTTTTCATTTTTTGAATACATTTCTTAATAGATAAGTGCCTTTTTTTGGGGTCTTGAATAGCTAGATATTTATGGCAAATATAAAAAAAAGCTTTTCCAACCAATGAAGCTTCTTAAAGCACATACATTAATCTGTGTAATTTTCGTCCTTCTTAACTTTGTATTTTCAGCGATTCTCTTTGTAAAGTTTACTTAAGCAGCTGTAAATTGTGAAAACCATAAAGTAGTTAGTTTTTGAGTGCAGGTGCAGAGGAGCCAGTGGGCAGTAAACAGTGGCCAGTGGGCAAATGGACAGGGTCCGGCGAATGCCCAAATGTCTGCCTGCCCTGACCATTTACAGAGCGGACAATAAATTCTTCATGCGAGGCTGCTGCTGCCGGAGGCTTTTGGAAATGTTGCAGAAATTCCCAAGCCGGCGGCCATAAAAATGCGGCTCACATGTGACAACGATTTGTACTTTAGCCCCTTTTATGGCACTCACTCGACTGTTGCTGCTGCTGCTGCTGCCGTTGCCTTTGCCGTTGCCGTTGCCGTTTCCTCCTCCGGTGGCTGATGCATTTTAAAAGCAACCCAGGTCCGCGTATTTCGTATTTCGTATTTCGTATTTTGTATTCCCATTCCCAATGCCCCGCTGCCTGCGGTTCGCTTCACAAATCTCAAAATCGCATCAGATTATACGAGTTATGCGATGCAGCGATGGAGCGGTGGAGCCAGCAACAGGCTCCCATTTTGGTCATCTGCCGTTTGTCGTTTTGTAGGTCAACGCCTCCTCCTTGGACAAGATCCCACTGTATATACATACATCCCTCCCCCTGGCAATTGGGTCAATTAACACCGATGCAGAAAGGTCCTTCAGCTGTATGATCCCCATCGATATGCTGAGTGATTCGCCCGATGATTATCGTGTCACATGCCCCCCCAAGAACACAATGGACCACCACTTGAGGCGAAGTCTTGTTCTTGTCCGGAATGTTAACAGTTTTCGTTTCATGTAATTAAGTGCTGCTGATCCACTAGTTTTTATCTTTAAGAACACACCGGACGGAAGGACTGGGGAGCAGCAGTGAAAGCTTTCTGGATTTCCACGCTGCGAAAGCAAAACAATGGACCGAAATGGAGGGATGTCGGATGGATTAGGACGGGATTCGCTTGGAAATGGTATGGCATGCGCTTCGGATTCCGGCTCGGACTGGGTGGGTCTGTGTTTGCAAACTGTCTGGGCGAGACAACGTTGTACGTGCGGATGATGTCCGCCCGTCCGAGATCCGGCGTTTTGATACCCGTCGACCAACAGGGTATGCTAAATGTACGAGTATATTCCTGATTGTGACACAACTCAGTTGTTCCAAGCCCCAAAAGCACTTTTGCTTCGTAATCTGGTTGAAATTGAACATGGGCCTATTCTTTTTCACTTTAAATAGCAAATAATAAATTGAACTACTCGGAAATAATATGTACATTTATTATATACTATAATATACTATTCATGTCTAAAAATCTCAGTTTGAATATATATTTCCAAATAACTCCCAGAGAAGTGTTTTAACTTGAGTTTTTAACATTGGATTACTTTATCTGATTTTGAAACAGCTCAAAAAATAACTTAGTTGTATGTAAAATAAAAAAAAAAAAAACTGATAAAATCTTAATGACAAAACAAAATCCAGACTTATCATTTAAACCCATTTTGAACGAATGCCAAGCCTTCCAAGGCTAGTAAACTAAAGGATATTAACTAAACTAAACCTAAGAATTTAATGTTAAGCACCCAGCACTATACATAAGTCGTTAAAAATATGTATATTCTGTATAAAAAAGACAGTACGTAAGACATATGACATGGAATTCTAACCAGCCGAAAGCACCAGCAATTAGTAGCCTAGTTTTATACTTAAGCTTATAGCGTAAAAATAAATATATAACTTTTATTATAATTTTTCCGAAATGAGTGTTTGTTAATAATTAAATAAATAATCGATATTTGATTTTTTTTTTCGAATTGACTACTGGGACTTCAAACTATTCAGTTATTGCAAAAGTGAATGGAACATTGAATTGTTTTATAAATAAAAGCCAAAGTAATTCTTTATTGATAGAAGTCTCAAATTTTAAATATTTTCAATCCCTGGTATTGGCCTATTACAAAAGTAATGCATTATATAAAAAGTAATGTATTTTAATAAAAGGCAACATTTTGTTTACGTATATCTGATC